GTTTCCAAAACTGTACCCTTCATAAAGGATCACATTAATACTCCAATCAGAGAGTAATTGGTGGGACCACACCTATGGTGCATCTTATAAGGGTACATGTGAAATTTACTGGGTGTAGAACATAAATGTCTTAACACAATAACTAAGAAAATGCCATGAAGGCTATGTTGACCAGTTTGATGAAACCATTTCAAATTGTATGTAAAACCAGCACATTGTACCCCATGATTGCATTAATATACACAGCTATAATTTAATAGAAAAAAAAACCTGAAAACAAAAAAGCTCCTCTTGAAAATACAAGAAACTAAATGAATACCAAAATGAATATTTGACATCTAATTTTATGTGCATAAATTCTGACCCTCCTAATAAGCTAAAACTTTTTAGTGACCATTTGCCAGTTGTTTTCCCAGCATATCACTTAGTAACACTCAGTAGTCTAAGAGATCTGTAATATACCTAAGATAAATGTGTCCTGTGGAAAGTATTCAAAGACATTTGATGATCAATTAAGAAAATTAATGGCTGTCAACAGCTCTGTACGAATATACCCATTAAGGCCACATTTATCATTTTAGAAATATATATGTTTTTAGCTTTTTCCAATGGTGTACTCAGCTATTGGAGAAGCTGAGTATGCTATTGGAGAAATTTTTTTAAAAATCCGAGTTTCTATTCGAATAAGTGTGTATTATAAGCCTACAGTTGTCCAAATTTATTTTCATAAAGGCCTAAAACTCTTTTGAGCCAAAGACGGTTTTGAGTCTTATAATAAAGGATTTTCATAGAGTAACCTTTAGTCCATAACTTCTCTCACCCCAATGCCCCTTAATATACTCCTAACACAGCCCACTAGGCTCTCAGCAGGGAAAACAAAACTTGGTGTTTAGGGTATGGGGGCAGGCACGGGGTGGGGGGTAGGGTTGGGGGGTTGGGGGTGGGGGTTGGAAGGGAAGAATAAATTGCTGGATTATATTTTACTTGTTATTCCCACTGACCAAGATCCAAGATGACAGAGATTCCTACCCTTTATTTAACCAATTTCCTCAAAATTTGTGCCAAAGGAAAATGCTGGAAATAAAGCTATAATTTGACTCCTCTATATTGCATATTAACTAAATAAATTTACTTGTATAAACTTCTGAAAGTTTTCAAATTTGAGAATGTTGAATTTTAACTATAAAACATTTCTTACTGACATTTTATAAATTTTATACTGGAAAACTGAGTCACAGTAAGTTTAAATAACTCAGAAAAGTCTATACATGGAATTGGAGTGCAAAGAATTAAACTGCAGAATGTGAATTGCTATCTTTTTGTCTTAACCACTACAAAGCAATTCTTCCTTTTAAAATGTTTTTCTAAAGAAGTGCAGGTCACTCATTTCTGCCAATTCTTACCAAGATTTATAAGTAAAAACAGAAAGGAAGTTTTGGATTTTGCAAAGAAATTCACCTTGTAAAATTTAGGAAGCGAAACTAGTTGGTCAAGAAAATTGTGCATTTGAAAAAAAAAAAAGTTTATCAATTGGGACAATTTAGTTCTGCTATAATTTTATTATAGTATCTATAAGCCAGAATACTGTCAGAAACAAAGAGCAATGTTAAATAATGACAGTTTTTATCTAATTATTTTTGGTATCACCAAAAGTTTTCTTGAACTAGTGTACACTAATCTGGGGCAAAGGTGACCAAAGGAGCTTGGTAATAATTTATCTGTCAATGCTGACCATCAAGTAAAAGCTCCATGAGAGAAGGTACTATGTCTGTTCTAACCATTACAGGAATTATAAGAGAAACTGAAATATCTGTTGAATGAATACCAGCGTTACATGTTTGTTGTAATACCATGTACTTTGCTATTTTCCATCCTGCACTTAAACCATTTGTATTTTTTCAAGTTTGAGATACCAATAAAATTTTATATATCTGTATATATAGTCATATACTGTGAAATAAGGTAAATATTTTTAGCATAATTAGCAGATGACTTAGGGGGAAAAAAAAGCAATTGCTTTCCATTTTAAACTATTGGTTGTAGTTGAGAACTATCAAAGATAATCTTTAATATACAATGTTCCTGTACCAAATTTAATAGAAATGTTTAAAATATCTTAAGGGCCCTTAATAATAATGCTGAAGTTTGTACTCTAGATGGGCAAGGCTGACTTTATTTCCTAGCAGCAAAAAAGTCTAGGAGTTACCCTTCTGCATTCTAGACTACACAATAAAATGTGAAAGAACAGGGGAGGGTAAGCCACAAAGGAAGCTGACGTTTATTTCTGAATCGGCCTCACCCTTCTAACCACAAGAAGGCCTATGAAACCTTGCCTCAGTTGGGGGAGGGGTGGAAAAAACTTATCCAACATGTTAAAAAACAGGAACAACGCAAAGTTTTTGAGAATAGTAAAAAATGAACTTTTAACTTGTACATATTTTCCTCTAATTTGCTAAAAGAAAATAAATTCTTAAACAGTAAAAGAACAGTTGATTTTTTTTCAACAGTTGATTTAAAAAGACAATTTTGTAGTCCACAATACGCTATATGGCACGTTCATGAAATTTCAAAATGTGCACATCTCAGGAGAAACAAGATTATGATCCTAATTTACATTTCACAAAAGTTTAAAATATTAAAATCAGTAACAATATTGAAAGAACTTTCAGCAAGTTCTGGGCAGAGGAAAAAATCATGACTTCTAATTTACCAAAATCTAATTAAATATATCAATATTTACCATGTGATTTATTAGCCCATGTCAATTTAAAGAAAGATGTGATTAGGTTTATTTCATAAAGATACTAGAAAATGGAGTATTAGCAATCTGAATCTGTCTGAATAAAATTCTATCATGTTTTATCTGAAACTTTAAGAAGTATACCTGATTCAACTTTATGATTGTCACTTACGATGGTACTTATTTATAATATAATTTAGAATTGATACTGTGAAAGTCTAAGTTCTACAAAACTTTTAAAAAATATATAAAATTTATATTTTATTTAAAATGGCAGTACTAAATGATCTGATAATATCAGGTTACTCCTTGGCCTTAAAGAATTTATACCTTGGTTAAGCTAATGCAGAATTTGTATAGGGCAGTCCCCAAGTTACAAACTTCTGACTTATACATACAACTCACACTTCAGAATAGGGACTATCACAGTAAGTCTCCAAGTTACAAACCTGAGACTGATGTACAACTCATACTAACAAACAGAAGCTATTACAAGTAATAGATATATGCACCTGTTTTATCTTACATACAAATTCAACTTAAGAACAAACCTACAGAACCTATCTTCTTTAAAACCCCAGGACTGCCTGTACAGGTTTACTGATAGAATACTCATTTTCTGTGATATAGAATTATATTATCAAATATGAGTTCATTCTTTTTGTTTAATTTGGGGATGGAGAAAGGGATAATTTCTCTATTTCTTTTTCAGCTGACATATCCTAGGAATTAAAAAAAATATTTTATCTAACAAATACTTATATAGCACTATACTAAACACTTTACAAATTACAGTAAAACTTCTGTGAGTTGACTACCCAAGGGACAGTAACAAACTGGTCACCATACAGAAGTGGTCAACATAAGGAACTAGTTCTACTGTACTGACATGTACCAGTAAGACATGTCTAGTCTCTGAAAATTAGGTCAACTATGGAGGTTCTACTGTATTCACCAACTTAATCTTTATAACATCATATAAGATAGTCACAATTACCTTGTTTTTGTACTTTTCAGATGAGGAAACCACAGCACTAAGCAGTAATTTAATTGAGGTCACACAGTTAGTGAATGGGGGAGCCTAGACTTGGACTCAGCAATGTCCTGTGCTGAGCTGCCTCTTCCCATGAACAGTCTCAGATAAGAACCAACAGTTTCTATCAGACACTGATGGATGCTAAGTTCCTTGTGAGTTCTGATGTGTGATATGTAAGTTCCTTAAACCCTCCACAGATTTGATTTTCAATTCAGTTAAGAATAGACTCTAGAGAATAGCAACAAAGAGTTTCCTTCTTAATTACTGCTAAAGGAGGAGTCAATGTGAGTTTTATACAACTTTGAAATTAAACAGCATATACATCAAAAAGCTCCCCTACCTTCCTAGCTCTTTCGATGTAAGTGTATAGAAATTATTGAAGTTTTCCATTTTCATCGGAGTTTGAGGAGTTGTAGTTAGCAACCCTGAAATACTTCGGCAATCAAATCTTCTTCTTGACATGTTAGATGACTTTCAGAAAGGCTTCTTTAATCACTTACTTTTACCTTTTTTAAAAAAGAGAAAAACTTGGATGTAAAAGATGTCATCTCAGGCAGGATGTGCATTACGTTGTAAAACACCAAATATAGCTATAAGATACAACTAAAAAAGAAAAAGAATTAAAGAGAACATTCTACCCACAAGAAGGAAAAAAAAAACAAAAAGTACACCCATAAAATACTATCACCTCTATGGCACTTGAACAAAATTAGTGACTTCATTTCAGAATGTAACTACTATAAAAATTCCTGCAAATTCTTTAAAAAATAGTTGTGATAAAATTATAATGCAAGCAATCACTTAGTTTCATTGCAAAACTCTAATACTTTAAAGTTACGAGTTTTACATAACTTGTTAATGATTATTCATTTTAAATTTCATTTCACATAGCCAAAGAAATTTAGCGTGAGTGAATATACCGTGAATTATACCACTGACACATGAACAACTACAAGAAATAGCACTTGTTCCGTGGAGTGGCTTGTGTTTCAATACTAAATTCAGATCTCTCATAGATCCTAGAGTCTCTCCTTTGGCAGAACCTAGCACAGAGCCTGCTGTGTATAAAGAGTTCAATAATTTTGCTGGGTAAGTGACTGACCATACACAAAGTTTTACTCCAGAGTTCTAAGCTATACCTGAAGTTCATATCTACTGCAACTTTATGATATTAACATGCATTCACTTTTAAAATCAAAACTGAATTCATATAATAATAGTAGTCTAAATACTTCAAGATACTTCTTACTGCTATACCTGCTATACTGCTATAAAATCAAGCATTATTCTTCTAGCACCCTCCTACAATAACCGCCTAGGTGTTTATTCCTTCTCTGCTACTATTTTTTCCTACCTGTATTTCCTACTTAACATCTGCTGTTCTTGATCTTCCTAGGTTCAAATATTCTTCTTAGCAAATAAGCAGTGTGATTAGAGTTCAGTGTTTTCAGTTTCTATATTTTCTCTTCTTGGCTTTTGTCTCAAGTCAGTAAAATTGTTTTCTCTATATCCTTTGGTCTTTGGGAAAACAGCTCTAAACAGTTTGTGGGTACATCTCTAGAGGTCTAGGGTAGCAGTACATACAGCACTCTGAAAATAACATTTGGACTGAAATATATTTGGGGTCTGAATTCCATTTATCCATCATAGATATGAGACTTTAATTAAGCTTTGCTACTGATACAGGCTAAAATGTGTCCTCCCCAAAATATGCATATTGAAATCCTAACATCTCCCCCACCCGCCGCCAGACCCCCAGAATGTGACTGCCTTTGGAGATAGAGCCTTTAAAGAGGTCATTAAGTTAAAGACCAGGTCATTAAGGTGGGCCCTAATCCAGTATAACTGGTATCCTCATAAAATGTGATTAGGACACAGACACTACTAAGGAAAAATCTTATAAAGACACTGGGAGAAGACAGCCTCCTATAAGCCAAGGAGAGAGCATCAGGAGAAACCAACCCTGCCGACACCCTGATCTCAGATTCTACTCTCCAGAATTGTGAGAAAATAAATTTCTGTTACGTCATCTAGTCTGTTGTAATACAGCTTCTTTTTTCAATGAAATATTTCAAATGTTTAGGAAAGGATACAAATACCATAGCAAACACTTGCTCTTTCAAATCTTATTGGTTGCCGGTGTCTCATTTAAGTTAAAAATAAATAAAACATAATAAACATAGTCCCTTCTCTCCATTCCTACCACTAGCACTAAATAGGAGGGATTATCACTACCCTGCCAACATCTGACCCATTCAGACTTTTGATTTGGCTATTCTAGTGTAACCAAGGTGAAACGAATTTTATTGTTATTTACCTGGCATTTCCCAGTCCTTCAATTCTGCTTGTTCTAAGTATGGATGATGACAGAATCAATCTTGCAGAGCTCAATTGATTTAAAAATTAAAATACACTGAACTTACAGCACTGTGCGAATCGTGAGGGCACATCTACAACTCTTTCATCAAAAAAAATTAACACTCTACCCAAAGACGGACTTCCTGCTGAAGTCTCCTGCCATTATTGATACTGGATATATGTACCATTTCCATGTATAAAACTCTCAACTCAAGTTAGTCTAAACTCAAATCTTCAAATGTTTTTTATTTTCTATTTTCATTACATTCTGCTTAGCAAATAAGCACTGTGATTAGAATTCAGTGTTTTCAGTTTCTATATTTTTTCTTCTTGGCTTTTTTCTCAAGTCATACTTTTATGAAGTATTTCAAAGTTATGAAATGGCATTCAGCTTCACTGGTCACATATTACTCTCTGAAAAATCAAAATGGGTAGCGATTTTTATGCTCAATCTATTATTTAGGGTTTTTTTCCCCAGATCATCTTCGAGCTTTTAGAATTTATACCTGAATTAAAAGGTCTATTAACATGCATGCTTATGATCACATTTATATCACACACATAACATACAGAAAGAAGAGAGAGATATGTGAATCATGGATACAAGTGGGCTATGCAACTCTCAACACTCGCTGTTCAGTCATTGGGCCTTGGGAAACATGAGAACAAGAGCATGCCAAACTTAATCAGAGACAGAATATAGGTTCTTCACATTAGATGCTTGCCTCATCTAGAAACTGGATTCCAAGAGACTCTCTAATGTATCAGCTTCAAAGTGATCCATTCACAAAAACTCTAGTATAACTAAGATCTATTTTATGAATAAGCATTCCTGCTCTCAGTTTTCAAGAACCAATATCAGGGGCGGCGCCTATGGCTCAAAGGAGTAGGGCGCCAGCCCCATATGCCAAAGGTGTTGGGTTCAAATACAGCCCTGGCCAAAAGCTGCAAAAAAAAAAAATAAATAAATAAGAACCAATATGAGTTTTAGTTGTAGATAAAGATTAATGTTCAAGGAACTCAATTTACAATAGTAAAAACGAATGAATGTACCCCTCAGTACAACAATAAGGAAACAGTTAAATACATCTAAATAATGCAATCTTATACAACCCATAAAAATTGTGTGTTCAAAGAATATTTTTTAACTCATTAAGTGAATAAAGGAAGACACAAAACATTATATATAGTATAATAATTCTGGGAGTAAAATCATTTGGAATTTGGTAACTCTGGCTCTGAATATGCTGGAATAGAAACCATACCTCAGAAAAAGAGAATATGTTTCTAAACATTGAACCTTAACTTCATCTGCTTATTACTAACACGAACTGCTTTAGACTTCCAGATAGCATTTCTTTTTTTTTTTTTTGAGACAGAGCCTCAAGCTGTCCCCCTGGGTAGAGTGCCGTGGCATTACAGCTCACAGCAACCTCCAACTCCTGGGCTCAAGCGAGTCTCCTGCCTCCGCCTCCCAAGTAGCTGGGACCACAGGCGCCCGCCACAACGCCTGGCTATTTTTTTTTTTTTGGTTGCAGCCGTCATTGTTGTTTGGCGGGTCCGGGCTGGGGATTCGAACCCGCCACCTTAGGTGTACGTGGCTGGCGCCTTAGCCGGTTGAGCTATAGGCGCCGAGCCCAGATAGCATTTCTTAAGTTCATTTTCCTTCTATTTACTTCAACCAAACCAACTGTCAGAGCCTAGACATTTTTCCATTCTTCTACTTGGGCCAATTTTGCATATATTGGAGCATGACTATTACCTTTGCCCACCAAATCCTCCACAAAAATCTCATTGCCCTTCATATAAAGTACATGAAGGTTATCAGCCAGCTCTCTGCCTCTCCTTCTTATGCCTTCCTAAGTTCCCCACCAAATTTTCTTCAACTCCAACAAACAATCCAAAAACCTTTTCTTGTCCTCTACCATAATTCAGAGACCTATAACTGGTTCTAAATTACCAAGTCACTCCATTTGAAATCTAGTTCATAAAATTTTATCAGGCTATACCAATAAAAAAAAATCTTAAGGATCTAATACATAACTTTGTATGTATGTGTATGTGTACATTCACAGACACAATTAGGTGCTAGAAACAGCAACAGGTAATAGAAGGTAAGATGGATCATGCTTTCAATTATGCAATACCACTAAAAATAACAGTATCTCACACTTATTTTCAAAGATTTTTTTCATTAACACTCATTACATAATTACAGTAAGCATTTACATTTGGATCAGTGAAGGAAATATTGGGCTTGATTTGGGCCTAGACTTACTTGCATGTGATCAAAAGCAAGACAAACAAGCAGTTCTTACAAATCTCTAAATAGCTCTATTTTAAAAGTATTTACAACAATATTCATTTCAAAGTTATCAAATAATAAAGTTTTATAAAAAAGAATATACAATATATAATAATGACAGTGTCTAGAGCAGTGGTTCTCAACCTTCCTTCTCAACCGTAAGCCTTTAATACAGTTCCTGTGGATCGCAACCTACAGGTTGAGAACCACTGGTCTAGAGTGGTTTTAATTCTTTCATTAGCTCCCCAGTTGAGGTAAGCAAAAGTCATAGCATGACACACAAAGGCCCCTGAGTCCGAGTATACACCAACTTCACTTCCTGCCACACTTATATTTCATATTTTGCCATCACATCTTTATTATGCTTCTCTGCACGAAACATCCTATCTACCATTCCTTAAATAAATAACTCTTTTTAAGCATCCTTCCATCTCAACGTAGAATGGCATCTCCCCCAAGAAACTTTGCCTAAAACTTGCAAGTTGGTTTAAAACCTCTCCTCTATGCTTCAAATAAGCGGACCCTTGGCATACTTCTTTACCTCAAACTGTAACACACTAGACTGCAATTAAATTTAGTGTTGAAAGGGCATCATCCTTTTACTTTTGTGCCCAAGGTGTCTGGAACTGACAGGAATTCAAAAAATGTTTGATGAACTAAATTATAATTTTTTTTGGAGGGGGGGGAGACAGAGTCTTACTCTGTTGCCCTGGGTAGAGTGCTGTGGTGTCACAGCTCACAGCAACCTCAAACTCCTGGGCTCAAGCTATCCTCTTATCTCAGCCTCCCAACTATCTGGGACTATAGGCATCTGCCACCATGCCCATCTTTGAAATATAGCAAAAGGAATTTTCAGGTACATCTCCTGTCTTCAAGGGGTTTGCAGAACTTGAGATCCATCTTACAATTACAGTAATAGAGCTCTGAATGCAGCTAGTCTCTGCTTAATTCAGATGTGGCACATTAAAATAAGAAATATTTTAAATAATTTCAGTTCTAAACAGGGTAGTCACAAAGTCTGGAACCACGGATAAGATTATTTTACTTTATACATGTGTATTGTAATGTAATGCAAATGGACCATTCTTTGTCTTTTTTTTTTTTTTTTGGTTGTTTGAGACTGTATTGATACTTTTATTTTTTTTAAATATCAAATTAATATGATAAGCTGATATCAAATATTTTTTAACTCAATCAATTAATATGAGGGTACAACTTTTAGGTTATATTATTCTCACTTCTAGGTGGACCATTTATTTTATATTTACCACTCTTTCTAAATGAGGTAGCTACTTGTTTTTGTGTAAATTCTTAAAAAAAAAGGAAAAAAAGGAAAGCCAGAGATTGTTAGGAAGTAACTCCTAAATTTCACATAGGCATTTACTGCTACCAAGTTTTTGCTAGGAAATAGGGATTAGAGATTTATTTACCTACCATCCAACAAAAAAAAAAGAACGCTCCGCAGATGTGGCAGAAGGGTCCATTTTTAATTAGTCCTTGATTAGTAAAGGTATTGATATAGGGATAGGGATGATTTTTGATTTTAAGGAAGAGATTATATTCCTTATACATATTCTACTAACAGAATATTGGTTTTATTTTTAGTTTGTTTTTTAAATCTTAAACAGAAAGTACAATTCATGAGTGTATGCCTCTGAAAATTGCAATAGAAAGTCAGCTAAACTGACTCTAATCCAACAAGTCTAATATACACTATTCAAAGGCTGAAGTGTTAGGCAAAAATTCTAGGCTTAACTCTGTGCCAAGATGCCATCTCTTACCACCTTCAGAAAAAGAATTAAACCCAATAATTGTGAACCATGATAAGATGTTGAAAAATGGAAATATAATAGGCCAACAAACACATGGTACTTGTCATTCATCAGACGGAAAATTAGGTTTCTGTTGTAAAATAAATTATTGTTTACTTAATAGCACCACTGAAAATACCATTTATGCAGTAACTATTACAATGCAAAATGGAATCTGTTCCTTTAAGGATTTAAAGAGGAAATTACCATTTTACTGTTAAAATTTTTCAAAGCTTCCAGTATTGACTATGCCCTCTTTTAGAGTAGTTGAAAAAGGTCAGGAATGAGCCAAAATATATTGCATATAAATATTAAAAGCAACTGACTCATTCACAGGTTTAAAACGGCACTAATTCACATGTTTAAGATGGCTCATGCCTCTAATCCTTTGGGAAGGCTGAAGCAGGAGGAGTATTTGAGGCCAGGAGTTAGATATCAACTAAGCAACAGAATTAGAACCCATATCTAGAAAAAATAAAAAAATTAGTCAGGCAGAGTGGGCCATGACTATAGTACCAACTACTTGAGAGGTGATGCAGGAGCACTGCTTGAGCCTAGGAGTTCAAGACTGAATTTAGCTGAGATCATGCTAGTGCACTGTACTCTGGGCCTCAAAATGAGACCCTATCTTAAAAAAAATTAAAAGAATAAATAAATAAAATGGCACTGAAGTTTATATCTTATAGAAAAAGGATAACCAAAGAAAAACCTTTCAATAAAGCATGCTTGAAAATTGCAACATTTATCACAATATATTTAGATAAAAGTGTGTGCTTGTTGGTTAATTTACAAGAACATTTCTTAACTGAAATAGTCAATCAAATATCCTTTGATAATAGTCTATCACAGAATGCAAACTATAGTATTTAAAACTAAAATCATTAGGCCGGGCATGGTGGCTCACGCCTGTAATCCTAGCACTCTGAGGGGCCGAGGCTGGTAAAATGCTTGAGTTAAAGAGGTCAAGATCAGCCTGAGCAAGAGCAAGACGCAGTCTCTAAAAAAAAAAAAAAAAAAAATAGCTGGGTGTTATGGACGCCTATAGTCTCACCTACTGGGGAAGCTGGGGCAAGAGGATCAGATCCCTTGAGCCCAGGAGCTTAAGGTTGCTGTGATGCCACTACATTCTTAACTGAGGGTGACAAAGTGAGACTCTGTCTCAAAATAAATAAATAAATAAATAAATAAAAAAGTTCAATTTTGTCATTGATATTATGTAAAACAAAAGCAACTGAACACGTGTGATGTTTTCCTAAGTGGAAAGGTAGTACATAACTGACTGCTAATGTTCCTGACAAAATAAATGCCCACTTCTTAAAAAAACAAGCAAGAAACTATTATTATACCTTAAAAGTAGTAAGAGTAGAAGTACTAGTCTTACTTGCCAACTTTGCACACAGGAAATGTGCACAATATGTTACATACAAAATTTTAAGACAATTAAGGATTTAGAGAAAGTGTTAATAATTGATTTCCTTGATTTCTGGGTTTTCAATTGAGTCTCTAAGATTTAAAAGGGTGAATTTTGATAAGAAAATTCTCCCAATAAGTATCAAACAGCTTCAAACGAAGCTTTTAAAATGTTTAAATGTTCACTTGCTACCAGTTAAACACTATCAGTGCAAGCTTAAAGATGAAATTATTTGATTAGAAACATCTGTGGTAAAATGCCTATATCGTCTCCAAATTTGTTACTCATATGCTGACAGAGTGATCACGTCAAGCCTCCACTTTCCTAAAAATGATAATGTCTTAACCAAATTACAATTCACTATTCAATGATCATAAGAAAAACTGCAACCAAAAGAATGGTCTTCAAATTATTACATAAATTTTACTTTAAAACATACTGCCACGTAAGCAAATATATTTTACTTAAGGCTTAGATCCACAGTTTTAAAAAATGATCTAAATACATATAATGTGTACCTCAAAACTAAAGCAGCTGTTAATAACAACTCCAATTATTAAAATACTGGGGGGAAATTTTTAATTAAGCATCTTTTCAGAGGAAGAGAATTGTAGCAAAAGATAGATCTATAACTTTTTTTGCACTGTTTCTATGGACCAAATACACAATTCCATGACTAAGTGGTTTAATATTTATAAAGCAAACATTTCAGAAGTTACTTAAAACTACTTCTGGACAGTTCACTATGAGACTATAAAGCGGTGTGTTAATGAGAAAGTAGGTTTGTTATCTTTTCCTTCAGTAAAATTGTGCTTCTGCGTTCAAAATGCAGGTTTCATATGCTGCCACTCACCCAGTCATTTCTATAGACTGGGCTGCCTGAGCGCACAGATTCTCCTAGACTTGAAATTTAAAGGGGCTACACCACTTCAAACATCCCCGCAAGGTTCAGCGTATTATTAGTACCACACATGTAAACATTACGTTGGCAAAACAATCGGGGAACGTGACATATAGTCCTAACGTGTTTAAACATTAGTGAAATCTGATCGGTAGAATGGCTGGATTTTAAACGTGCAGTAGGTTTGTTTTTCCTCTGCAAACTGATGTCAGAGTGCCTCTAGTCCCAGCGAATAGGAAGAATACCAGCTACTAGCTGCCATAAAGTCCCTTCCAACTTGTCTCTACTTATACCTCTGAGGGAATCCAAAAGAAGCACTTTTCCCTTAAGTGAAACAAAGAGCCTGGGGTAAATGTGAAAAACTGTAGCCATCCTGTAGTCTTACAGTGTGAGGACGGGTCTACACTACGGGACGTACACTAACTGGCTTATGGGGCATCAAAACAGAATTAGATCGCTGAAAATCACTGAAACGGCTGCAATTCCCCGTGTTCTCTATTCACTGATTTTAAAAAGCTGTTCACAAACAGTAACTGAAAATGCTCCGTAAGATGAGCACAAACTTTCTCTGGAGGAAAAGCAACTGTAGTAAGACGTGTCCGCGAGTCCAGATGTGAACACGTCCCGGGCCCACGCCACAGCTGGGAACTCGCGAAGCACACGAAGGACCCGCGTCGCGGAGACGTGGAGGGGCCCTGGGGCCCGTGGGCCGCCGGCGCGAGCACGCAGACACACAGACACACTCCCCTCCCGGGGTGAGAAGCCCCACCGACCGCCCTCCGATGGAACCGGGGACGCGGGACTTCAGCCAGAAGGTGGAAAGAGGCCGGGAGCAGTCGGGCCACCCGAAGGGCGCTAGAGTTTAACCCATCTCCGCCAGGCGGAGGCCGGGGGCTTCCGAGGGGACCCTCCCTCCGCACTCCTCTTCCCCACGTTGGGGGGCTCTGCACTGATAAAGGCAGTGGGTTCAGTCGCAGCCCGAGCCCACCCAGCAATCCCTCAGGACCGCGGACACGCGAGGCGCAGGACACTAACCGCTCTGGCCGCTGCAGTTTCTCTCGGGGCTGCCCCCCTCTTGGGGGGAGGGTCCTGTCCCGCCCCACGCCGGTGGCCGCTACAGAACTCGTTCTCTAGCTCTAGCCGGGTGAGGCTTCTGGAAGCTCCAAGCGTGGCAGGACCCACTTTTACTTTTCCAGACAAGGGCCGACAGTTGTGACCCAGGCCGCAGTAAGGTGACTCCCGGCTACTACTACAGAGAAGAGGACAGAAGCTTACAGTTGAGGTTTGAAAACTGCAGCCGCGTCTGAGCGCAGTCTAGTTCGCTAGATCCCACCCCCTCAGTTGGGAGAGCCAATCAGAGCCCGCGAGGAGGGTGGGTCTGTCACGTGGTGGGCGGGGCGGGGCGCCGGCCGGCTGCGCGTGCTGCGGAGGGGCGGGACCCCAGCGGTGAGAGGGTGTGGCCCGCGCCGGGGGGCGCAGTGGGGCAGGTGGGGCGCTCCTGCAGCTGCCTTGAGGGAGGGGTGAGGCGGAGCTGCCGAGGCCTTGGGTGGGACTGGAACTCCAACTGGGCGCACTCCTTCCCACCTTTAGAGTAAGTGGTCAGTCATCGAGGTGCGAATATCCGAGCACTGGAGACAGGAAAGAAGCACAGTGTGTATCTGTACCTACCAAAGACCTTCCCGATCATCTTCCCTCAGACCTGAACCCACTCGGCAAGTGGAGAACCCGGTGTGCTACAACCTGGCGGCAGTTCCTCCAAACATCTCCATCACTTGGGGATTTACAGACCTGGATCCCTCGCTAAAGTCTGCTTGAGGGAATCGTGTCCTTCGGAGACGTTGACTAAAGGCAATGAGGAGAGCGTCCGAATAGGATGAATTTCTGATTTCGCATAAATAGTGCTGAGGAAAAAGGTGAAAGCCTACATCAGTCTGCTCAGAATCCCTTACCCCTTGAAGACAATGAAAAATTCCAAAGTTCTGTGCAAGACACAATTGTTATACATGTATAATACTAGATTATCTATTCATACATGTATAAGATTTTGTGTGAATAAACTAGGATTGGTTGCAGAGTATATTTACAATATTGTGGAAAACTACTGGGGAAAGATAACTGAGAGTAGAATCGTCCTCTTGTTTTCAGAAGACTTTGACAGTCCACATTTAAAGGGGAACTTTCTTGTTCATCCCACTAAACCAAGCAAATTCCCACCAAGCAGGCTATTACCTCTTCCTACTGTATTTCCCCCCATCCCCCAAGGTCAGTGCATTGAATGCATCATAGCCATTTAACAAATCTGTTTGTCCTTACTTACACTGATGCCTCCTCCCAGTTTGGTGTGTTTATCCCTTAGGTAGACCCTTATGTGGTCTCTCCCTTAAGCCTTGTCGGAGGAGAATATTGCTTCCATCTATCAAATTTCATGTTGCTAATAACTGCTAACTCACAGAGAAGCCTGAAATTAGGATGAAAACCGAAAACTATACACTGAAATTGACTTTTTAAGTGTCTGAGAATCCACAAGCCAAGGAGACTATTCCTGTCTTTTCTTTTGTGAACATAGGTGCTACATGCAGAGGTCTTAGCCCCAGCCCTGGAACCAGTAACCCCTTGAGGGGTCACAATATTACATTACTGAGGTGACTTCAGACCTACTTAATTTCAACATTTGATCAATTGCTTTTAGCAATCTTTTCACACTCAGCCCACATCCCCTTTGTCACTAATCCAGTCCCACATCCCGTCACACCTAGACACAAGACTTTTCTCTCTCCGTGACCACTTTAGACCTGTCCTCTTTCCAGAAATCATAACTCTTTACTGATTTCTACTTTCTACTCCCAGTCCAATCAAGTCTTTGCTCTATGTTCCTTGGCACAGGCTTATGCTTGTTCCATAGGTTTCTTTTATGACCTTAAACAGGTTGTTAACCCTTGTGCCTAATGTCAGACTCATCAACTAAGTTTTATCATACTGTCCCAAGGATATCAAATTATACTTCCTTGGTCTCAGGCACTGTGGTCCAAGTAACAAGGAATCTCTGGTGCCAAGGAGGAGACTGTACTATCTATGGCCTTGTGGGAAAAGTCAGGAGTTAACACACTCTCCAGTCTACCTTTTTGACCTAAAACTAAGCATGTCAAGGATACATGTTCTTTCATTCCCTTGAGGAGGAAATCCCTATGTGATCTGATGGTCATTCTGTGGTCATTGCTTCTGACTACACAGATAATTAAGCTGACAGTCCTTGGATACTACGTACTGACCAGGGATGGTGATTGTTAGGGGCTGAATTTTGTCCTCCAATGCATATATTGAAGACCTAACCCAGTGCCTGAGAGTATGACAGTATTTGGAGCTAGGGCCTTTAAAGAGGAAATTAGGGTAGAACAAATAATATGGGTGAGCCTGATCCAATATGACTAGTGTTCTGGTAAGAAGAAGAGGTTAGGACATGGATAACATGGACTGAGGGACAGCAAGAAGGTGACTATCAAGCAGAGACGTCTCAGAATTAACTAAACCTGCTGGCACCTTGATCTATGACTTCTAGCCTCCAGAACTGAGACGGTTGAATTTTGCTGTTCAAGCCACCCACTCTGTGGTGTTTGTTATGGCAGCCAGAGAAAACTACTACAGTGGTCCTCTCTGATCACTGCAGTTTAGTCATCACACCCTGAGTAGGGTGGTGATCCTCCTAGGTCACTCCAAGTGGATCACCACACATGAACAGGAATGGTAGTCCTTTCTGATCATGCCACAATATCCACCATATTTTATCCCTCCCAGCCACACCATGTCAGTCACCAAATACTGACCACATACTGACCAGATAATTCTCCCTGACCTCATGTTCACTCCCTACAGATGCAGCAAAAGGAGGGTGGAATTTTGCACAGAAAGGAAGGCTTCAAACTCAAAATTCCTGCCTCTGCCACACTCTCCTTCTAAAGAAAGTCTTACTAGTTATTTTTATGGTCAAGATCCCACAGCAAAACAAGCAGTATTCTCTGTCTACAACTGAATAAACCAGAAGCCTATAGCCAGGCAAACATAGCCAGATACAAGCGAAGCCAACAGCTTTGGGGAAATGGCTCAAATCTCCACCCAACAGGGGACTCATCTTGAATGGAGACAGGCTCCTCCAAATAGATCTCCTCTTTGGAGGCAGGACAACTGGGTGTACTCAGACAGAGATGTCACAGTGTGTTTATCCATGTTGCCTACAGCACGTCCCCATTTCGGAAGCATTGACCCAGAGAGACTTTAAGAGACCATACGTCCCCTGGCTGTTAGTGAACATAATTGGGTCAAGTCTTTCCTGATGAGACAAATGACTCAGACTGGTACAAGTGTCTTCCTCAAAGGGTGACACAATTTTCTCCGAAACACCCATGACTGATGAGGGCCAGTATGTCAATCCACCCACCCACAACTGTTTATACAGCATAACCTTCCCAAGCCATCCAAAAGAAATGTCTTGTACATTTATATGTTCTGGTAGCTACATTTTAAAAATTAAGAACAGATAAAATGAATTTTAACAATATATTTTATTTAACCCAATATATTCAAAACATTGTCACTTCAACATATAATCAATATGCAAACTATTGAGATATCTTACTCCCTTTTTATGTTGCCTTAAATCTGTCATGTATTTTTACTTATATCCCAATGCAGATGCCAAATTTTCATCAGAAGCACTTGATATGTCCTTAGATTTCATGAAATTTACTCTTGAACAAAGCATATTCACATACCTAAGTTTTTTGGAACATATTAAAAGTTTTTGATAATTAAATACAATATCAATCTCTTAATTTAATGTTCATTAAATTAAAGATGCTGTCACTTTAGCCACATTTCGAGTGTTCCATAGCTACACGTGATTGGTAGCTACTAGATTGGACAATGTAGTTCTAAAGGGCTAGAAATGTTTAAACTTCAAATTCTTTAATGCAGAGCTGAAAACAACATAAGTGTCCAGTAAATCATAACATCAGAGCATTTTGGAACTTCAAAATCCTTGAGGTTCTGTATCCTATCCCATGTTTTAGAGAGGAAGAAACCTAAGAGAGAAGTTAAAGGACTTGAAAAAGATCAGGCACCTAAACTAGTGGGTGCGCATCTGAACGATAACTTGGGTCTCTTGATTCTTTTTTTTTTTGAGACAGAGCCTCAAGCTGTCCCCCTGGGTAGAGTGCCGTGGCATTACAGCTCATAGCAACCTCCAACTCCTGGGCTCAAGCGAGTCTCCTGCCTCTGCCTCCCAAGTAGCTGGGACCACAGGCGCCCGCCACAACGCCCGGCCTTTTTTTGGTTGCAGCCATCATTGTTGTTTTGGCAGGTCCGGGCTGGGGACTCGAACCCGCCACCTTAGGTGTACGTGGCTGGCACCTTAGCCGGTTGAGCTATAGGCGCCGAGCCCAGGTCTCTTGATTCTTAATCCTGAGATTATTTTCATGTCCTTAAACCAAACATACTGCAGGCAAAAAGACTTTTTAAAATTTATTTGAATGATCACTCAAGTGATATGGACAGGGGAAAGCAAACCCCTATTCTAACTGTTCTTTAATAAGAACCTGATAAAAGTGCAACCTACAATAATTAAGGTACCTCCTTCCCCTGTGGCTTGAAGCCTAGATAATTTAATCTTTTAGTCCTTACCGCCGCTTGTCGCTGTTCCTCTCCTTGGAACCACCTGACTGCATGTAGATCCTGCCCACCCCCAGAGCATCCGGCCACATTTTTCAGTCTGCAGCTGTACTCTCCCAGCTGTCTACCATACTTTGTTTAAGGTTGTGCTTCAGAGAATCCTCCATATTTGCAAACCAAAATACTTAGTGGAAACTGAAGTGTGTGGCATCATCAGACAGACCTGCAATCAAGTCCCAGTTCTGCCCATTCCTCATTATGTGGCTGGGCAATCCTCTGTTCGGTCATCCTTACTAATGGGGATAACACACAGTGGTAGCAGCTGCCTCCGTGAGATTGAAATGTGATAAGGGACTAAAGCACAATGGCTGACCAGAGTTGAGCCTTAGTTTGGTTTATACCAGCTGTTCTTATTTACCAGTGGTCTGCAGGCTCCCTGAGAAGGACTGCATATGTCCAGCACACCACTGCACCCTGTGACCTGCAAAATACTTGAGACATTGTAGGTCCTACATAGCTATTTGTCAAATGACTTTATAAGATACTTTGATTTCCCTCAAATCTTATGATTGATGCTAGGAAGGATATTGTGGGAAAT